AACTTATTTCATTATAAAGCAGTTTAAAACAAGTGCAATATAAAGAAAAATAAAATTGTTTAAAACATGTTGTCAACTCGTAATCATAAAAATATAAAAGACATATCATGATCCCTCTCAAAGTCTACTTGTGAAATGCATGAATGAAGTCTCATACCCCCATCCATACTAAGCAGAACCCCTTGAGGAACCATGCAATTACTGTTGTGGGAGTTTCTCTAACCGACAACCATCACTTAAGAACTATAGTGATGATACAACGTTATTAGCCCCACGCTGCCCGGGTCATCCTATACCTTGCCATGGTATAAGACCTGAACTACTAAGTGGATTCACTAGTCTAATGTGAAAAGGATTCATCTAAAAAGTATCTATTTTGTACCCATGATGGCTACATGGTTTATGGAGACTTGAGTTAATGTGAACTCGCATCCCCATATCGGTGCTCAATACTACTCCCAAAAATATAATATTAGCTCTTATGTTTAAAAACATACTTCTTCTGTGATTTGAGATTAGTGCTCAAAAACTTAGCTCAAAGACTATCTTGGAAATCTCAGTTTCCCTGCTTGCTTTATTTAGAAAGCTATTACTCTTTTCTGAAAACTAGCCTGAAGGCTCTTTGGAAATCTCAGTTTCCATTCTTATTTAAATGTGAAAAATATTTTAAATCTCTTTGGGAATACTTAGTCCCCATATACTTTTTGAAGAAATGAACTTCAATCTATACTCTTTACTCTTTACTCAACTTGAATTTTAAGTCTTAAAACAAGGTTAAAAGCATTTGCAAAAGACTTCTTGAAAAGACTCTGAAAACTTCCTAGACTTGGCTCCTGATTTTTCTTGAATTTGAATTTATGGATTCAAGGTTATGATTCATGTTTATGAATGATTTCTAATAACATTAAAAAGGATTCCTTACGCGCTTTAAAAAGGGATATATATATATATATATATAGTAACATTAAAAAGAATTCCTTACGCGCTTTAAAAAGGGAATAATATCTCATCAATCTGTCCGATTAGTATTTTGTGTTTAATTAAATGATACAGGAAAAATAGATTGGAGTGTTAAAATGGAACAAGATTGTTGAAATTTAAAAGCAAGTTAAAAAGGATGTGTTTGACCCAAATAAAATTAAAGAAAATATGCTATGTCTAATGTCTTTACACCTATATTATGATACTTGTTTAGTATAAAATGGTCCTATCTTCTAGGAATTATATCTCTTCACTTCAACTTTAACATCAACATGAATTAAAAAACAAAGAGAGAAGTAGTGTGAACATCTTAAATTCGACATGAATTATTAGTTTTGACTTCGAACTATTGACAACCTTATAAAGAACACTCCTCTATTTGACTAATTATGAACTTAAATACACTTCTGATCTTGCCACATGGGTGAAATACACCCCTAAATTCTCGTCAAGTTTATGGATGTTTTCAACACTTCACTCGATATTTTGTTAAGAGTCTCACGCTTCGACAAGAATTTGAGACCATTTGTTATGTCATATGGTAGATCGGGGGTGTATTTAAGTTCAATTAGTCAAATAGATGGAGATATTTTTAAGATTGTCAATAGTTAAAAAATCAAAGTAATAATTCAAGCCAAATTTAAGGATGTTTTCCATTATTCTATTAGAAACAAAATGATGGAATGGCATGTCACTATTGCAATACAAATTTTAAATACAAAATGGAGAAAGTCTTCTTTTAATTTGACATGGCACAACATTCATCTATTAAGAGATTGGGGTGAAAAAAAGAGTTTTGTTTTGCCTTAATTTCCTTTTACCTACAAGAGCTACAATAATATTGCTAGTACAATAACCAACACAAAAAAGTTTAATCCCTCAAAAAGTGAAACAACCTCTATTACCTACAAACCTTCTATCTTAATATGAGTCTTCTATACTCTTCTATCTAAGGTTATATCTTCGGTAACATAAAATTATGTAATTTCTAATCACCTCTCCCCAATACTTTTTTGATCTACCTCTACCTCAATCTCCTCATATCTTTTATAATCAACCTCTCTCACCTCCTCACTTTGACGTCTACACATATAATTAATTAGTGACAGTTATATTTCTCACATTACTGATACTAATTATGTAAATTGTTTTTTTATTCTTACAAGTTAGTGGATTCAAAAGTCCCCCCCACAATTTATTTTTTTTATAAAAAAAAACTTATATAAGTAGCTAGGTGTTAGTTGCGTAGACACATCATTCATATTCTTCTATAATTATTTCATCAATTCTCTGTACTAGCCATGAATGACACAAAAATCATAAAACTAAGTTTGATTTTCTTTATGATCTACTTAGTGAATTCTAGCCCACCTGAAGATCCCATAAAATGTTCATACAAAACAAATTTTAATTGCACCATTACAAACACTTATGGCGCCTTCCCAGATCGAACCATTTGCAAGGCAGCTCAAGCTGTTTTTCCAACCACAGAAGAAGAAGTCATTTCTATAGTAGCAAATGCAACAAGGGAAAATCGAAAAATGAAAATCGCAACTCGATTTTCTCATAGCATACCCAAATTGGTATGTCTAGACAATGGTGATCAAGACGGGTTACTTATAAGTACAAAATTCCTAAATAAAATCATAAAAATCGATCAAGAAAACATGATGATCACCGTTGAAAGTGGGGTGACATTGAGACAACTAATTAGTGAGGCAGGTAAAGCAGGTTTGGTCCTGCCTTACACGCCTTACTGGTGGGGTTTAACGATTGGTGGCTTAATTGGGACCGGAGCTCATGGAAGTTCTCTCTGGGGTTTGGGAAGTTCGGTACATGATTATATTGTACAACTTCGAATTGTTACACCAGCTGATGCGGCAAATAATTATGCTAAAGTCCGTATATTGGAAAATGGTAGCCCCGACTTGAATGCTGTTAGAGTGTCACTAGGTGTTCTTGGAGTTGTTTCACAGGTATATATCTACTTTTGTTAATATATATCATCGGATCGATCGTTTGGTAGATTTTCACTAATTAATTATACATATAGTACTATTAGTTATGATATTATTAATCATACCATATATGAGTACGTATAATTAATAGTACAATATGATAGATAAATCATATGTATGTTTAGTTCTCTTTTAGATTTTGAATGACAAATTAAATCAAATCTTAATATGTGTATTAAATTTAGGTGACACTAAAACTAGAACGAGTGTTCAAACGTTCAATTACCTTTTCTGAAAGGGATGACTCAAACTTAGGGGAAGATGCAGTTACCTTTGGGAGACAACATGAATTTGCTGATTTTACGTGGTATCCAAGTCAACGCAAGGTTATTTATAGGATCGATGATCGAGTTCCTAATGGCACTCCTGGCAATGCCCTTAATGACTTCATTGGATTTCGCTCTACACCTTCATTCGTCCTCGCCATTTTCAGAACCCAGGGTAATAATTAATTGCTCATAATTAAATTGCTTCAAATTTACTTTCTTTCACTTTACTCTACTTTCTTTGTTCACTAGAGGAGATACAAGAATCAACAAATGATGCTGGTGGAAAATGCGTAAGCGGAATAATAAACACTTCCATATTGAAGTATCTTTCTTATGGGTGGAGAAACAATGGTTAGTTAATTTTTTCATCATGCGACGTACAAGCAACATATATAGTTAATGATTCGATTGCATTGTATTCTCTCTCTCAGGTACTGGCTATCCAATGGTTGGGTTTCAAAACCAAGTCCAAGCATCAGGAACATGCCTAGACAGTCTTGAAGGTGCAACATGCCCTTGGGACCATAGAGTTAAAGGTCTATTTTTTCACTGTAACTTATATTATATGGAGAATGACTTGTTTCTTTCTATTCATCAAGACAAGATACTTATACAAATACTATGCTTCTATGAAAGGAAAACTAATCAAAGTAAATCAACTAAGAATCTGCTCCTATAATTAAATTAGCTATATATGGAAGATATAATATTTACACTTATTATATTCTATAACACTCCTCCTCAAGCTGGAGCATTGATGTTGATCATGCCCAGCTTGTCACAAAGATAATTAACTCGAGCTCCATTTAACGCCTTTGTGAACAAATCAGCTAGTTGCTCTCCTGTCTTTACATAACCGGTGGAAATCAAGTTATCTTGGATCTTCTCACGAATAAAGTGACAATCTACCTCGATATGCTTTGTTCTTTCGTGATACACAGGATTTGAGGCAATATGAAGAGCAGCTTGATTATCACACCAGATTTTTGTTGGTTTAGAATGTGAAGAGCAGCTTGATTATCACACCAGAGTTTTGCTGGTGTAGAATGTCTCATTCCAATTTCTGTCAATATGTGATGTATCCACATGATCTCACATGTGGATTGCGCCATAGCTCTATATTCAGATTCTGCACTGGATCGCGATACAACACCTTGTTTCTTACTTCTCCATGACACCAAATTACCACCAACAAAGACACAATAACCAGTAGTAGATCGTCTATTGGTTTTACATCCAGCCCAATCAGCATCAGCAAAGCACTCAATGTGAGTATGTCCGTGGTTACCATATAAAATGCCAAGTCCAGGGGATCTTTTCAAGTAGCATAAGATCTGTTCCAAGGCTTCCCAATGTTTGACTGTAGGTGCAGACATGAATTGACTAACAACACTCACTGCAAAAGCAATATCTGGACGTGTTACAGTGAGATAGTTTAGTTTCCCTACTAACCTCATATATCTCTCTGGATCATCAAAGGGGCTACCATCATCACGGGTCAGATGCACATTAGGGACCATTGGAGTACTACAAGGTTTGGCTGCGGACTTTCCAGTTTCCACAAGTAGGTCAAGGATATACTTTCTCTGAGATAGAAAGATTCCCTTCTTGCTTCTAGTTACTTCTACTCCCAAAAAATATTTTAGTTGTCCCAAATCTTTTGTGTGGAATTTAGTATGCAAGAATGACTTGAGTGAAGAGATCCCCGAATAATCACTTCCTGTAATAACAATGTCATCAACATATACCACAAGAAGAATAATGCCAATTGTTGATTGTTTATAAAAGACTGAGTGATCACACATGCTCTTTTTCAGCCCTTGAGTGATCACACATGCTCTTTTTTAGCCCAAATTCCTGAACTACTTCACTGAATTTGCCAAACCAAGCACGAGGGCTTTGTTTCAAACCATACAAGGATTTCTTTAGGTGACAAACTTTACCATACTCCCCCTGAGCAACAAATCCAGGTGGTTGCTCCATATACACTTCTTCTTGGAGATCACCATGAAGAAATGCATTCTTGATATCTAGTTGGTGCAACGGCCAATTCTTAGATGCAGCTAAGGAAATAAATAAGCGAACAGAAGTGAGTTTAGCCACCGGAGAAAATGTGTCTGAATAATCCACCCCATAAGTCTGAGCATATCCTTTAGCCACTAGTCGAGCCTTAAGTCTAGCCACAGAGCCATCTGGATTAACTTTGACCGCAAAGACCCATTTGCATCCCACTGCCTTCTTTCCTTTTGGTAAATCCACCAAGTCCCAAGTGTGATTCTCATCTAGTGCATGTATCTCCTCAAGCATTGCATTATACCATCCAGTGTGACTCAAGGCTTCCTTAACTGTCTTAGGAACAACGATAGAGTCTAGAGAAACAATCAAAGATCTAGACATAGAGGATAAATGACCATAGGAAACAAAATTAGCAATGGAGTATGGAGATTTGCAACTACGTGTACCTTTGCGAATAGCAATAGGGAGATCAAGATCTTCTGGAAGATCAGACAAATGAGGATCTGATGACAAAGGGACTGGTGCAGAACATGTATCAATGGCCTCTCGCCTCCTCGAGTAAACTTGTACAACCGGAGGTCTTACTACCGTAGATGGTGCAGGAGCTGATGGTACAGTATCCGATTGATCCTCAATAGATGATCTGAGAGATGGAGGGACAATATTTGATTCTTCTGTCAAAACACGGGTGACCTCATAGACTAACCACTCATCTTCCTCCCCTTGACTTGTAGAAATAGGAGGTGCATAAAAGAAAGGTGTAGTCTCTGAAAATACCACATCAGTTGATACCAAATATTTGCCAAGTTCAGCAGAATAACATCGATACCCCTTCTGAAGACGAGAATAACCCAAAAAAACGCACTTCAATGCCTTTGGATCCAACTTAGTGACAGATGGTCGAACATCTCGAACATAACAAGTGCTTCCAAACACCTTAGGTTCTACTGGAAATAGTGACTTGTTTGGAAACAGAACACTGTAAGGCACATTACCAGCAAGAACAGTGGATGGCATACGATTAATCAGAAAACAAGCCGTAGAGACTGCATCTGCCCAAAACTGTTTAGGAACCTTCATTTGGAACAAAAGTGCTCGAGTTGTCTCAAGTAGATGCCTATTCTTCCTCTCAGCAACTCCATTTTGAGAGGGTGTATCAACACATGAAGACTGGTGGAGAATACCGTGTTGTCTCATGTATGATTGAAATGATTCTGACATATATTCTTTAGCATTGTCACTCCTTAGAATACGTACCGAAGCATTGAATTGTGTTTTGACTTCAGCATAGAAGGCACAAAAGTGAGTAAACACTTCAGAACGACTCTTCATAAAA